ACATATATGCACATATAAGAAGGTTAAAAATAAAACAAAGCACATCTGATAAAAGGTTATTACCCAAAACACACAAAGAATTTCTAAAGGCAAGGGTGGCACAGAACCCAAGTTTAAAAATGGACAAATAACCTGAAAAGACGCCTCTCAAGAAGAACTAAAGAGCAAGTGAGCCTATGAGAAGATCTCCACAGCAGGACTGAAGAGAGGACTCTGTGTTTTACGGCTAGGCTGAAGGCCAAACATCAAGATTTCAACAGCATATGACATTAGGAAATTGTAAATTAAAACAATGAGACACCACTACATTCGCCCACCATCATAATGACTCCAAAGGAATGAAAAACTGTGTTCATATAAAACCTGAACACGCATGTAGACAGTAGCTGTCTTCACCACTGTTGAAATGGGAAGCCGCTGAGATGTCTCTCAGTAGATAAATGGATAAACTGTGGTTGATACCGACAACGGAATGGATAGTTTTCAACACTTCAAAGAAATAAGCTATCAAGCCACAGAGAGACATTAAGGAATCCAAATTACATGCTTTGAATTAAAAGAAACTGTAGCAGGAATCTTAGAGAGTCTTATTAATAAAATCAAACCTGAGCCCAGGTATTGGGGTGAACACTGAAGATCAGAGAGACAGAACAAGCCACAGCTTCCTCACCTTGCCAGTTTCTCAGCTGATACTATTTCCTCAGACTGGAAGCTTCTATGTCCTCATCCCAATGGCTCTCAGCTGAACTGATGCTCGAAAGCCTGAAAGCTTAACCAGCCAAAATGCTTAACCAGCCAAATGCTGAGTTTGCTACAAAAGTCCTCCTTAGTACTTCGGGTTAACACGCAGCACCAGATTGGAAGCAGAAGGAATACAGTCCAGGTGTCTTCTCTCCATGCAGGTGTTAAGGAGATCTGCGGAAAATCAAAGCTAGGCCAGCTTTCTATTCTGCCCCTGGAGAACAGTTCTTAGCTGTGTTTCCATTTTGGCTTTTCGAGACGGTTCTCAGTTTTGAAGTGTGTTAACATGTAAAAGGTGTGGATGGCTCTGTTGTTTTAAATGTTACCATACACCCTTAAATTTCTACTTTAATTTCTAATATAATAAGCAGGAAGAGGGCACTCATCAGAACCCGACCGTGCTGGCACCCTGCCCCTCACCTTCCTACTGTCCCACGTGAGGAACGCATGACATGGAAGCAAAAGACGCATTTCACAAGGTCTACAGGACAACCGGCAACGCGTCAGAGCTAGAAACAAGTGCTGGACTCACAGCTTCAACATCACAACCTGCCAAGTTGCCGTGAGCATCTAAACCACCCTACTTGATCCAACAATTCAGCCAGGAGTATGCCCCTGCCCAGACCCCATATGCACCTCTACAGTCTCTCCGAGCTTGGGGTTTTGTGGCTCCTTGGCTTTCCGTTCGTATTTCCGGACGAATTATTATGGCATGCACATCATCTGTGGGAGGTGGTTTTGGAGTTTAAGTGGGGTTCCAGAAGCTGTTGGGAGTGCTTTTGGGGGATATGCTTTTTGAGTTTTATGACCGTGCATGACAGACCTACAAGAAAAGTGTCCCCCAAACTCAGAGTCCCCGCCCCACGGGGCACTCACCGAGTCCTGATGCCAGCACGCTCCTGAGCATGGCCAAGAGCAGCAGCAGTGGGCACAGCGTGGCGCCCAGCATGGCGCCTCCTGGAGCACCCAGGCAGTTGTAAAGCCGTTGCGTGGGGCACGTGCCCGGGGCCTCCGTGGGCCACGTCTTTGGAGCGCACCCACTCCTGCCCCCCCTCCATCTGCCACCACTCACCTCAGTTCTCACCCTGGTCCCCGCTGCGTGCGGCAAACCCCCGCGCATGCGGAGCTGGAGATGCTTGTGATGGATGGCGCACAGGAGCCAAAGCACAATCTATGTATGTACTCTTTCTAAGGTTGAACTAAGATTTATTTTTGCGATGGGTGGAGAAATTTTTCAAGGAAGAGTAAAATGATTTTCTTATTCTGGGTCTATGCTTCCACAAGCACAATGCTCCTTGGACTCACCACCAGGCTTTCTTCCAACATGGTTCTCTGCTGCACTTTTGGCTAAAATTCATGTAATTTCGTTCTTCTTAGAAACTTACCAGTGCGATTAATTTACTTAGCAATGGCAGATCCCTGATATTCTACAGTGCCTACATGTCAGCCCACCTCCCAGCTGAAACCTCAGTGCGACAGTCACATGCTTCTGAAGGCAGATTCCTGTCAGTCAGCCAACTTTCTTCATCCTCAGAGGTGCTGCCAGACCTATGGCCTTCAACACTGCCTTATTCCTCACCAGGGTAACTGTTAAAATATTTATCCTGAAAAATGAACTTTGTATCTTCTAATGTGTTCTCCTTAAACACAGGCATTGTGCATATTTGGCAAAAGTCGTAACACATAAATTAATAAGACTCCAAATAGTTGTGTATTTAGAAAGTAACAGGAAGACCAAAAAGGAATTTCAAGTATTTTATTTGTTGTAAATGTTTTTATTTTAATATGTATATATACACAAACCAAAATATTATTTTAGAAAACTAATGAAATTCAGTTAATATACCTATTATTAAACTTCTTTATGAAAGATTATGAAAAAATTTAAGTGTTTAAAATTTTAGTGTCAATATCATTTCTTTCAAAGTACAAATTCATTTTAATACAGCTGAGACGGTAACTCACAGATGCCATGATGATGTCTGTAGTTACCTAAGGAGACCACTTCTTCCTTCCTCTCTCCACCCTAGTTTTTATGAAAATATTAGTCAAAAGAGATAAGATCCAGCACACCTTAGTAAATGTAAACATTCTAAATGACTCAATATCAAGCTCTGAAATTCAGATTTGAGTGTTAAAGTGCTCATGAGTTCTCAAGTGGTTTGAATACAATGGCTCACCTGGCGAAGGCATTCTCTATGCTTCGGTTCAATCGACACCTATCTGCTTCGGTCTACCACCTCGTACCGGAAAGAGTGCACTTCAACTACAGCAACACTACCACAATGCTTTACGTGATGGGTAAAGGAAATTTAGTGTTAAATCAATTTCTACCATTCATTAGAGTTGAAAGATCATTAAAAAAAATGGAAGCCAGTAACTGATTTAGTGTTAAATCAATTTTATCATAGTCATTATTCGTGAAAGATCATAAAAAAATGGAAGCCAATAACTGAATACACACCATATTTCAAACTTTCAAATTATATCACGACCTAGTAATTGTGGTTCTTGTGTATTCTTCTTCGGGACATCTGCTTTTTTGTGTATGAGAGAGAGACAGGAGTCTGTATAAATGGCTGTTAATCCATGCAAGATGAAATTGTAGATATTATTGGCAGTTAGTCAGTTTTCCTAGGTTAATACATGTTCAAATGTTCAACCAGAAACTATTAATGAAAACTGAGGTCAAAAAGTCAGGATTACATTTAAGCACATCATGACAAATCTTACACCAATACAGTTAATTTGAGAATCATTACAATAATATGTTCAAAATAACTTAATCCACGTTAAGGGCATTAAACTCGCAAATGACCAAAGAAAACGTTTTAATGATGGGAAGTTAACTCTAAGTCTCCTGGAGTGTCTGTGTGTTCCTGTATTTCTCAACTCCCCACTCCCTTTCTGTGTTAATAAAGCTTGTTTTGTGGTAGTTTGTTTTCATTCATAGTTGGAAGAGAAAGCTTTTCAAGAAAACATCAGGAAAAAAAAAAAAAAAAAGCATTTGCTCAGTTCCCTGAAGACTTCTGAAAAACAAGAACCTAACATCAGGTGAGGGAGCTATATAATGGAGGTGCAGGAGCTGGCCGAGCAGGAACCAGATTTCCCTGAGATGGTATTTTTGGCTGTGGTGGAGGTGGCCTGTAGGAGGAAAAAGAAGTTATCAGTGCGTGGACTGAATGAAATAATGCTGGATTCCTGTCAAGTTCAACACAACAGAACCCTCAACCTCCCTGAGCACAGGCAAGGGCACTTTCTACTCTGTGCTCTGAGATCATTGTCCAGACAGTATTCACTGGCTAATGGGACCCAGTTTTAGACTAGTCTAGGCTAGTCTAACTAGTCTAAAATGGGGAATCACTACGTGTGTGTATGTGTGACGGCTGAGCACTCAGTTCTGAATGGGACATCTATGCACCCCCTCTGTGGTTCAGGGAACACCAAAGAAAAGGCAGAAGAGAGAACCAAAGATCCTGAGAACTGGAGATGTGCTGGGAAACCCTGACTCCTGGCAATGACGTGGATGTTACACCCAAGAATCTGCAGACATGGAGGACGCCCAGACAAGATCTAATTGAGAAAAGGCTCACTAGCATCCCATCACGTACGTGTGTAGGAGGAACCTGTGGGACCTGATCCCCTCCCTGAGGAGCTACAGGAAGCTAAGGGTTACTGGGGGAGGGGCAATCCTGTTCCTCGGCTGTTAAATAGTTTTCATTTTCGTATTGTTTTACTTCTGTCCATTTAAAATTATCTTTAATTAAAAAAATTATGGGTGGATTATGGGTATGGCTGAAGAGAAGGCTCGGCAGTTAAGAACAATTGATGATCTTATAGAAGACTTGGTTTCTGTTCCCAGCATCCATATGGTGGCTCACAACCATTGAAAAGTCCAGTTTGAGGGGATCTGACATCCTCTTCTGGCCTCCATGTGCACCAACACACATAGTGTACACACATACACACATACATCTATACATACATACACATACATATATAAATACATACACACACACATACATACATACACACGTACATATATAAATACATACATACATATATACACACATATATAAATACATACATACATATATACATACATACACACATACATACAGGCAAACACTCATATATATAAAATTAAATAAATAAAAATAAATTTTTTTAAATTATGGGTATCAAACCACTGCTTTGTGTAAAACTAACTCTATGTTCACACACAGGAGTGAAACTCCAGATCCCTCAAACGGTATCCAACCTGACATTTAAACAAGCCATTAGATCTACACACATCCATCTCCAGATGCAGACTCCAAGCTGTGGCCCCCCTCCTCCCTCCCTCCCATGCCACACTAGAGCACTATCTAGAAAATAACTCGGTTCAGGTGTTTTCCTCTTCACCCTCAGTGGGATGGCAGTGCCCTCTTCCCGAATAGTAAGTTACACACGGAGAAACCACTGGCTACGACAATATGACTGGGATGTAAAGGATGTGGGAGTGGGAGGAGCTAGACACATTTCATATGACATAAAGTACAGTAACACATTCCACGTGTCCTTCAAATGTTATGCATTCAGCCTACCACTTCAGTTCTGGTATTTTTAGATTCTGGGATCTGCATTTTTCTGGGTTTTTTTGTTTGTTTGTTTGTTTTGTTTTTTAATTTCCAGTTCTATGGTGAAATCTCAATCTGGACCACTAACATGATCAGAATTATTTAAAGCCCATGTCTGACGATTACTAGAAAATCTCCGATTCTCTTTAGTGGTGTATTATATAGTTTTAGTCACAATTTCTACACTTGTATTCCTGGCTCTTTTGCGTAGAAATCAATCAAGAGTATAGAACATCTCTAGCCCTGGGTCCCCAAAGCCTGGAAAGCCTGTCTTGAGACTTCTCTCTGGGCAGAATTGTAATTCTGCCTCCTCTGCCCTCCTAGTTCCTTGAAAGCACTTCTGAACGCCCTGGTTCCTGACTTGTCACCTGAACGGGTGGAGGAGTGTGTGACAGAAGCGTCCTCCACAAAGCGAGTCGTCTCTGGGTCCGGCTCCGGCCCTGGCACCACAGGCCCTACCTCCTGGGTCTCTTCCTTTCCAGAGGCTCACATCCTCCTGCTCTAGCTTCTCCAGCCAGTCTCTGTGGGGAAGCGGGCACCACCACCGAATCTTCTACCACTCATTATTTTAAGGTCCTTGATCTGAATTTCACACACACCAAAAGCTCTATAGGGTGGCAGTCTGACTCCGTTTTTGTTAAGATTTTTTTCTGATGTTGTACTAATATAACAACATTCATTTAAAAGTTCTTAGAAAGCTTTCCCACAAATTGTGTGCTATTTGAACTTGTTCCGAGCTAAATTACCTAATACCTTGCCCTAAGTCAACTTTAAATGGAAATTGTAAGGCACTGACTCCTGAATTTTAATGTGGCCAAGTCATCTAAACCCATTTCTTCCCGACCTTGATGGAAACTGGGGAGGCTGCTTGGCTGCATAGGTTGGTACTGGAAATCGGTTTGCAGTCATAGGCTGAAAAGAAAAGAAAAGAAAATACAGTTACTGCTAGAGTGTAGTCATAAATCTGTCTTAGGCCTAAGGTTATTTTGTAGAAAAGTAATTAATATACTTATCAGGCTACTTACAATGCTGATATTCAAAACTACTTTGGTTAAAGGAGCCAGGGGTGAGGATCAAAGGCAGAGTACTTTTCTAGCATGCATAAAGCTCCAAGTCTGATCTCTAGGACAGCAGACTGAAAAATATTTTCTTGTTCAACCCATCTTTACTACTAAATGTTACACTTCCTTATTTTAAAGCTGTATTTTCAAATTAAATAACACTGTTATAATGAAATTGAATTAACTAAATACTGCCAATACATTTTAAATAAAATATTCTGAAATTTTATTAGCTTCTAGGCTTCTAGAAGTTACCTAACTGGTAGTATGAATACCAATCACCTATTATCCCTAATATTAGAATTCATGATCCTCTTCCTTGACACGGTGGTGAAATACAGCAAATATGAACTGATCTGCAGCAGAGCTAGATTGTAAAACAAGTCCAATGTCCTGTTTTCAGTCACCTATAGCTTGTGCAGACAGAAACATCAGTTACGAAACATCAGCCATGAACTACAGGCCCAACAGGTACACAAATAACATCCTGTTATATAGAGGCAAATACTCCTTGTTCTCCAGTACACTGAAGATTCTCCACGAGAGAGCATTTGTTCAGCCACAAACCAAGTCTTAACAAACATAAGAATACTGAAATCTCAAGTAGCCTAACCACAATGGCATAGCTAAAATAAATATAAGAGAAATTTCATAAAACTTCAAGGTACACAGAAATTAAACACTATGTTTCTGAACAATCATTGGGTCAAGAAATCAAAAGAGATACAGAAACACCTCTTGAGACAAAATTGTAAACACAAAATTAACAACGCTTGTAAGATCCATCTGAGGGAAATCTAAAAAGAGTTCATAGCAAGCTTAAATCAATAAATACCTACATCTAAAGGAGGACATGCCATTTCAAAAGGAGAAAACTATCAAATAACAACCTAATGCTCTATT